CCTCCATAGATTATCCCTGAGGAATCTCTCATCTTACACTCTATTGTCTTATTTCTCATTCATTGTTTCTCCGATGACAAGTTTGACTTCAGCTAAATGTGCAGGACAGGACCTAAGGAGTATAGGTGACTGGGGCTAGGTGATTTCCCCTCAGCTGAACTCAGGGAAGAAATTGAAGCATTTTTTAATCTGGATTTAGTTTCTCTCTCAACAAATAACTTAAATTTATTGGGTGCTGTTCTTCTCAGGTGGCATAAAAGATATCAGAGCATGACACAAATAGAATCTGCATGATTTTGAAGGAAGCAAGAGTGACTGGTGTTTGTAAAGAAGAAAGTTATAATATATCTTCCCAGGTCCCACCAAGTTTCTCTGTTGCATTATGTAATGAGAAAACAAGAAAATAAAATCTGCAATGATTACAAAAACTAAATCAGGTAAACAGAAAAAAATTTTTACTGCCGAATCAAATATAAACCTGCAGGGGCAGTATAAAATTGTAGAAGAGCCCTAGGTTTTGGTTCAGAGACCTTCAGTTAAAATCCCAGATCTACCACTTACTACTGTGACCTTGGTGGGCAAGTCATTTAACTTCACTCAGACTCAGTCTCCTCATCTGTAAAATGAGAGTGTTAAACTAGATGACCTCTAAGCTCCTTTCTAGCTCTAAATCTATGATCCTAACTGATATCAAACAAAATAAAAGAAAAAAACTGAGTCAAACACTGAAAGGACTAGTTAGCTCTGCTGAGGACATTTGAATACGACATGTTGTATTCATTGTGTGGATTTCCACAAAATAAAAGAGGCATTGTGTTTAAGGAATATGCCACTTATTTGAGCTAGAAAATTTTTTCATATAATTATTTTGGTTAAGATTGCACCATTCACTCTCAGTTTTTGTTGTTGTTGTTGTTGTTTACTTGCTTTGTTTTCAACTTGTATGTTTAAATAAGATTTTGAATAATCAATATTTACACCATCTGGCTATGTTGTTTGAAACATGTTGCCTTTTGTGTGCTTTTATTGACTTCATTTCCTTCTCCTTCATAAGTTGTGCAGTTTTAAAAGTACTAGAGAAATGTTCATATTTTCAAAATGGTATTTAATTATCCAGCCATGATTCTTTTATATTGCCATTTAAGTAGCTATTTTTCCTTTCCCACCAATCTGAACATACTAAATACTACCTATTTTGTACTTCAACTCTCCACTGACCAACTAAAACTAAGCTCAAAGGGTTTTGATTCTTGAAAATAATGTTTGGTTTGGTATTATGATGAAGTGTGCTTAACAAATATTAATATTTCTCAATTTGTAAAATGACTTATTTCTGATAAAGCACTATCCCTAAGTATTTCTTTCTATAACTTCACAATGATGAGGGAATTATGTATTATCATGAATAATTATCAATTTTGGGGAATAATATTAAAATGCTCTTTTTGTATATAATCACAAATTTACTAGTCATTTATATATGATTGAAGTACTTCATTGTGTTAAAGCCCTAATGATTTTCCATATCCATTTTATTTGCTTCAATGGTACAAGTATATACTTAGGTAGAAATAGACAGATATACATTCATATTGCTGTATACAATGGTGCAAATATATAATTTAAATCTCAGATGATAGTAAATACATCTTTTAAATAAAAGCACTTAGATCTTGCACCTACTACCATAAAAATTGGTATCAAAATATTATTATATGGTAAGAAATATAACCTACAAGATGGTAATTATTCTTCGCAGTTTCTGATTAATTGTTCTTTTCCTCAAAATGTAAAGAAGAATTATGTATTTCTACATGGAAAACTAGTTCAATTTACTTGAGAAAATTAGTTAATTCAGTGAAATAATTGATCAGTTTAGTCAAACAATTGAACTGACTCACTTTTTTCCATTGTTTTAATGAATTAATTGGACCAAGTGGTCAATTCAGTCAGAATAATCAAAGCAATGGTTCATATAGGAATTACTGGAATTCCCAACATAAAAATTCACAGACAACATTGCGTGATAGGATTAGCAAGTAATATCTACGGCATGACAAAGCACACATTAAAATAATAATTCAGATAAATTATAATTTTGAACACTTTGGCAAAAAAATAATGCTTAAATATCTTGGGATGACAACACTATGTTTACTTGGTAGCAATCTAATGAGAATCATTATTTTTCTGGTGCTCTCTCTTACACCTAATTTCAGTGTTTTAGAATCTTTCACACATGTAAGTCACTAAACCTCTTAAGCTTATAGACCACCATCTATAAATGATTTAAAAAAAAAGTTTTACTAGGTGGCCCAGAAAGGGAATCCTTGCATTAAAGGGGAATGGAGGGAAGAAATGAGGTCATAGAAAGTTAAAATTCTTAGATCTTAGCTTTAGAATTAATTACTCCCAATATCCTACACACTTTTTTTCAGTTGAGTATTTCTTTTCTTGCTGCCACCTTCTCCCCACCCCCTGAAAAGCAAGAAAGGGAAAAAAAGTAAAGAAGGAAGGGGAGAGAGAGTGAGAGAGAGAGAGAGAGAGAGAGAGAGAGAGAGAGAGAGAGAGAGAAAGGAAGGAAGGAAGGAAGAATCTTGTATCACCTAAGCACAGTATATAAAACAAATTCCCACACTGGCCACATACAAAAAGGAATAATTACTTTCCCCGTATACTTCTTTCTCAATCATATTCCATTTTAGTTTTGCGTTTCAAGGTCTCTATGATATATAAGGAAGGTAAAATATGACCTGTTCCATCATACAGATTTGAAATAAGAGTATTGAAAGAACTTAAAGAATTGAGGTCTCATTTTGGACACCTTCAGGAAGCATTATCTCATATCATCCTATTCTATAACATGGGGAATACTACCCCATATCCACTAAAGTGCTAGAAACAATATTGGTTTTTCTACATGATAAATTAGTATTACATGCACTTTTGATTTGAATGTAGAAATGGACTTGGGGTATTAAAAGTCATCAGTTATTGTATTTTTCTTGATTCAACTTCTCTTGGTAAATGTGAAAGCAGATATGAAACCACAGTCATTTTGCTGTGAGCTGTTCTTTGAGATATTCAGTATGAACTGCATGCCCTTTCTTTGAGATTCCTGAAGTTAAAATGCCCCAGGCCTATACTATAGTGGCATGACTTGGCACTTTCAATTCAAATGTAGCATCTTTTATCGGGTAAACTTGGATATTTAGATGACCTTTACAACTGCACATTCCACCTTGTCCAAAATTCACAGGATCTCATTTGAAGCACTTGTGGAAATGTTAGAATTTCTTTCATGCAGAATCCCATTTTCATGAAATTTGAAAGATAAAAAACTGCCTTCACTGTACACATGAACTTACCATAATTTTTATTACTCTTCTGCCTAGCTTTTGATGAATGTTGCTTTGCATCTTATCCACAGATATATTGTATAACCAAAAAAAAGGGGGGGGAAGAGCGGGAGAGTGAGAGAGAGAGAGAGAGAGAGAGAGAGAGAGAGAGAGAGAGAGAGAGAGGGAATTTTACTTTTATTCTTTCTGGGTATTTTTTTCTTTATAACCATTCTGCATAGATGGAAACTTCATCCTCTATTCATCAGAGTTTGTGATTTCAGACTCCTCTTCAGACAGGCCATGTAATGGAAAATGATAGAATCATAAACCAAATCATGAAATAGGGTGAATGCCTAGTGAATGAATGAATATCACATTTCACTTTGCAGTTGGGCCTAGTTATTTAAATGTCTCTATGTTCAAGGAACATATTAAAGAAACAGAAGTAAAAATCTCTACAGTAATTGTGCAAAATAATTTTCATCTAGACTGAAGTAAGAGTGAAATGGTAATTGGCTTTGTAATCATGAGTTTTGTGGTTTTGTTGCACTATTATTTTACAAATACTTATTTTAAAATTCAGGTAGCCAGGGCAGTTAACACCAGACAGTGTATGTGCAAATACTTTTGCTCGAAATATAATTTTACAGGTGTTTAGGGTAATGGTAGATTTATTAACCATTGCTACAAACTCAAAAATGATTAGTGTGTTAATAAGTGTCTCTACAGATTGCTTTCTTGAATCACATATTCATGTTTCACATACTTAACAGTCCTTCTGGGAAGTCAGGAATCATGCGCATCATTAACTTACATAACAATATCTTGATGAATTACTCCTTAAGGTTATACAAACTTTCCCTTTATTTTATATAACAGACTGACTTTTTTTAATGCTGTGATGCAGACAAGGAGAGAGAGATCCTTGGAAATGCAGCTAATTCTATCTAGACTATGTGAAATGGTGATAAACATGCCTTCTCTGGGAGATGAGTGATGTACATCACATTGATGCCATAACTTCAAAGCCAGGCCATAAATTGACCTTGAAGTGGATGGTAGTTGATGATAACAACTAAGGAATAAAGACTGAATTTCCCAGCCTCACTACCAATAATCTTTGTTGTATTTTCCAATAATTTATTTGATCATCAACATTTGATCTAACTACGGGCTGTAGTGGTTTGTCTCTTGAAAACACAGAAATGCAACACTTTTATGATCCATTAATCCTCATGTGAATGAATTTGGAATCATTTTACATATTTTTTTAAATTTCTTCTCTTCCCAAAGGGTAGAAGGGACTATAAGAGTCTCAATTACTTACCACTTGCTGTAGAATAATGAAACATTGTATGTTGTCGCTACCTTCTAAATACTCAGTCCCATTCTGATACCACAGGAAGAATAAAAGAAGGAAACTCAATTTCTATGAATTTAAGAGTTCCAAAGAATTTGTGTAACCTAAGTAACATGAATTTTTTTTCAGTCAATTCAGAAGCATAAAAGTAACTATTTCTCTTTTCTCTTTTTGAATGCCAAACTAATTTTCTGTTTAAAAGTGAACACATTAGATGATATTTAAATTATAACCATGTTGTTGTTGTTGTTGTGTGTTGTTGTTGTGTGTGTATGTATTTTCTTTTTCATTTTAACCAGCCTCTTATACCTAGAAGTCCTACAAGCAGTGTTGCCACGCCTTCCAGCACCATCAGCACACCCACTAAAAGGGACAGCTCCGCTCTTCAGGACCTCTACATACCCCCTCCTCCAGCAGAACCCTACATCCCCAGGTATAGAACTGAGATACTGTGCTTTGTTATGCAGCCTCTGACTCACATCAGCCACTTAGGAACAAGCACGAGTCTTTGCTAGGATTCTTTCCCTTGAATGCTTTCCTCCCAATATAAACAATATAAACAGATTCTAGAACAATATAAAAAGATTCTAGAACATTCTTGCATCCCACTCACGATATTGACATGTATCTGTGACACATAACAATAATAATCCAAGCTCCATGGCCAGAATGCTCCAGACTCCTAAATTATTTTGAAGGCTTTTTTTAAAAATGTAATAGAGAACATTTATAACCTCATGTATATTTGTGGAAGAGAGGCTGTGGGACATAGGCATTTGAATTTTCTTACCTTTATACATCTAAAATTTCTATTGCCTTTTGATAGGTAGAAAGACTTAAATAAAGTGAGGTTAGAGCACAATAGCATTGATTTTTAAATGTATTTTCTAAACCAACAGATCTTTCCTCCATTTCACTTCCAGACTCCTGCTTCAAATTCCTGACATGTCTGGAAGAGTGTAGCTTTTCTGCTGTGATCCATTCTGTCCTGAAGCATTCTGATATTCAACCTGGTGGAATGCTGCAGTGCAGAAAACACAGGGAAGGCTTAATACTGAATGGGAATAATTGACAGCAGTTGCAAGAATTTGCTTCCATTTTTAAAAATTAGCTCTATAGCACCTCAAAAACTCAATCAGGCAATGATTTCAAATCTTTTTTTTTCAAATGATAAATCTAATACTTAATGTTTCCAGTATATATGAGTTGACATGTCATACAGTAAATTAAGTCTCTGTATTCTTTGACTTGTTATACCTGGATACATCAGGGATGTTTGATGTGTGTATGTGTTAATAGTACATTCTATAAGTGACTATATTTAATATTTTGGTATTACATTGCTAAATTCAGTAGACATCTATTATTATAATATTCCCTTTGAATTCACTTAATTTTGAGACTCTGTTACATCTGGAACATATTCTAATTCTTTATTTGTAAGATTAAACATGGGCATCAGTGACTTGGGAATTTAACACTATTGACTAGACTCAATAACTTTCTTTACAAAATCACTGAATATCAGAATGGAAAGAGACCTTAGTGGCTGTTTTCTTAAGCCACACTTATTCAATTATCATGTATACATCCTCCCCAAATGATCATCTAGACTTCCCTTGAAAACTTGCATTAAAATATAAGCCATTACCTCTTGAGTCAGCCTATTCCATTTTTGGATAGCTCTGATTGTTAGAAAGTTTTTCCTTATATCTAACCCAAATCTCTGTACTTTCTACCCATTGATCCCAATTTTGCCCTGTGCGGCTGATCAAAATAAGGCAAATATCTCTTCCACAATGTAACATTACAAATATTATAGGACAGTTATCTGTCCCCCTATCCCTTTGTGTTTTCTCTTCTTCTAACAAAATATTCCAAAGTCCCATTACCCAGCTCTCATATATCATGGTCTTTGGTCCCATAACCATGCTAGTTACTCTTGTTTGTCAATATCTTTCTTTAAATGTGTCACCCAAAATTGAACATTGCAGTACTGACCTGATTTGGGACTATGTTTTCCTATATCCTAGACACTGATTTTCTTAATGCAATCTTAAATTACTTTAGCATTTTTGCTATTATGTCTCATTGTTAACTCAAATTGAGGTAGAACAATTATAGAATCTTTTTCACATGGACCATAATCATGTGAACTAAGTTTTTACCTAAATGTATAGCTTAACATTTACCTATGTTGAATTTTATCTTATTATGTTGGTCCATTCTATCCTACCAAAGTCTTTTATTTTTGCTCCTGACTGTCATAGAAAAAGCCAGCTTTACTCTACCAGCTTCCTATCATCTATGTATTAATTAAACATAACTTCATCCATGTCAGTGATAGAAATGTTAAATAATGCAAGGGCAAGGACAAATTCCTGGGAAACTCTACCATGATGTTCCTTCGAAGTTGACAATGAACCATTAATGGTTATTCTTTGGGTTCGGTCATTCAACCATTTTTGAATCTATACAATTGTGCCACATCTCTCCATCTTGTCCAAAAGGATAACATGAAACACTTTGTTGGATACTTTGCTGAAATCTAGGTAATCTTTATACAGCATTTCTCTGATTTATAGTCAAGTAACCTGTCCATAAAGAAGTTGTCTGGCATTACCTTTTCATGATAAAGCTATACTGACTCTTAGTAATTATCATTTCCCTTTATCAATATTTACAGGTCAACAATTTGATATGTTTACAATTCTTTGAGTCATCGAAGTCAAATCCATTGTGTGTAGTTTGAAGAATCTGTTAGCTTCCCTTTTTCTCCTGAAAATCAGGAGTTTGGCCTTCTTAGATGTGATGGTACTTCTTCCATCCTCTAGGATCTTTCAGAAATCATTGACAGTTACCCAACAATGATTCTCCCAGTTATTTTGGTTCCCCAGAATGTAGTTCTAGAACAGAGTAGAACTCATCACTACAAATAAGGTGGCTTCATCTTCCTACTAACACCATTTTTGTTCTGTTCTTTCCAATACAAATGAGATCTAAATTATTGTGGCTTCTCTTTGTCCATTATCAACTACCCACTAATCAGTAGCTCTATTCCTTCTTTAATTTCTTTTTTTGATAACTAAGTAGCTTAATAAAAATAACCTTCTCATCTAACTTAATAAAGCCTCCTTTTTTGTCCAAAGCACCCTTCATCAAACTCAGCTCATGCTAAACATTAGCACTTATCATTCTTACAGGACAATGCCACACTTCTTTTATCCATCCGTTGTTATGTTGGCCAATGAATTTCATCTGTTTTCACAGTGATCTTTTTCAATTGCTCTCCCTTTTCTTTCTAAACAGAATTGCTTTTGTTTTCATCTTTAGAATTTCTTGAACATCATATTCTTCTAAAGAAGACTTCCTCTATAGAATTTTAGTCTGTAGGATACCAAGTATTGTTCCTCAGAAACCTTTTAATTTGCTGTCCAAAAACTAAGGTACATGTTAGACTCTTCTTAGCTTTCTTCTACTCTCTCCTGAATTCCAAAATGGAGATGTCATTCTAAAGTTCTTATCTTTTCTGCTTCAGCAACCAGTTTCTCCTTGATAGCAAGTTCAAGGTTTGAATAAAATGTCTACTTGTTCCTTTGTCCATCTTTGAAAGGATAAAATATCATCGAAGCAGGCTAAGAATCTATTCATTATTCTACTTTTGATGAAGAGCTCCAAATGTCCAGATTATCAATATCCCTCATCTTTACTATATAATGTCTCCATTCTAGACTTGTATTCTGTTTTCTGAAGTAAGTGTGTGTGAGTGTGTGTTTCCTTTAGACCAAAGGAATTGTAAGATGTTATAATAACAATATTACCTTTTTTATCTTCCACTGATTTATATTTTCTGCCATACTTCCTCCTTCAGATTCATGTATTCCCTCACATGAATATAGCTTCCTAAGGTACAATACTATTCTGCAAGTACCATCTCTTTATTCTGTTCTTCAATAAAGTATAGCCTTCCAGTTCACATTGTAGGACTGAGTTCTATCTCGCCATGTCTTAGTGATGACTGTGAGGTCAAATTTGCTTCCTTGCATTTGGATCTTTGAGTGTAAATCATTTGTTATCCACATTTTGGGAATTTTCATATAAACATCTAAAGCCATGGGTACTATCCTGGCTCCTATTTTGAATTTCTTTCTTCTTTTAATTTGTGACCATCTCTACTATCATTCTTCCAAATATTGTAGTGGCTTCTCACTATAGTATCTAATACCTTGGCAACTACGCATGCTCAGTTTCTCATTTTTTTATGTTTCCTGTTTTCTCCCTTGAATTAAAATTTGCTAAATTCCATACAAATACACACACACACACGTATGGAATTTTGCAAATATATATATAGAAAGAGATGTACATATATACATATATGTACATATATGTATACATATGCATATATATACACACACATACATCTTTAGCCGCCCAAAGTAAGTACATTCCATTCTGAGCTAAAAGCCTATCATTTCTATATTTTGGTACCTAGATATATAATTTCACATTGAAGTCAAGTGTACATGAACATTTATGCCCATTTGAAACATTAATTTCATTTTTTATTTCATGAAAAGGCATTAGATGTTGTAGAACATTGTACAATAAGGAATAATGAAAGTGTGTGATTCAAATTTGAAGTGGATTATCTTTTCTTGTTTGTTTTTCTTAGCTTTAACTGAAACTAGGAATGATAATTTACAGAGCCCATATTCGCCAAATGAATAATTCTAAGGAATTAAGTAATCAGCACTAAATAAAACGAATCTGTGTAAAAAAAATCAATCCCTTTCTAATGTGACAGAATTTTTCTTATTTTGCCCCGTTCTTCCCAGGTAGCAACAAAGTGGGCTTTCTGTATACTTCCTTATTAGATAGGAGATATTTCTAACCAATGAAAACATGAGTTGATACTGCTAGGTTGTATGGAGGTGATGAAGCTATGAGTGAGAATGGAATAATATTCATAGTGAGAGTACAGTGTGAGGCATTTCTCATGAAAAATATCAAGAACTAGCCAGGGGGATCATATGGATCATATGGATCCATACATTAGTAGAATTCCTTAAAATAACATACTTCTCTCCAAAATGGATATTCACCACCTTTGATAAGATATAAAGGTTTTTAAAATTCAGTATTAAAAGAAATTAAAGTTATCATAGTCCTCGGATAAAAATGAATTGGAGAAACACATTTGTAATCCAGGTTAGGTGGAATCATTTTGGTGTGACTGCTGTGCTTCTAACATTTATCCCAGGAAAAGATAAGCACATTTGTGTTGTTTTGGTTTCTCTTAAATGGCAAACATTTGACTCATTCATGATGACCTGGATTATAAAGCATATTTCTAGAATCATAAAATGCAATTTTCCCATTCTATTTATACTTTATGCCTACATGCAAATTCATGTAAGCATAAAAATAAAATGCATGACTTTGGTCATTGCCAAATTCCTTGTTCATGATACCATTTGAAACATGCGTGATTCATATTTGGACAACTGTGAATTTAATTACTGTTGTCTTATTTCTTCTGTTTCTATTGTTAAATGATGAAGAAGTAGAGCTAGAATACTGTTGTCACTAATGCATTAAAAGAGTGACGATAGAGAGAGAGAGAGAGAGAGAGAGAGAGAGAGAGAGAGAGAGAGAGAGAGAGAGAGAGAGAGAGAGAGAGAGAGAGAGAGTGTAACTGAAGTACTATTGTCATCATGGTTTGCTCTAGACCAGCTGGACAGAAGAAAAATGGGAGGTGTCTAGAAAACAAAGAATGAGCCTGCAATTTAATTGACAGTTAAGGTTCCCTGACGATCTGAGCTTCTTCCTTTTTACTTTTTTTGTAGTTTTTCCACTCTCCTTGAATCAATTTATGATGAACCATCTCAAGATGGAAACAACCATGGTTCATGGTCTTCCTTCTTATTAGACAGGTAGTAGATCATAATTATTTGATTTCTTCCACATAATGTGGTTATAGAATTAAGATGTTGTGAGTTAGCTATAACATACCTTTCAGTTCCATTTGATTCAGCTGTGCATGTAGGGATATTAAAGTCTGAATCATAGAATCTAAGAGTGAGGAGGGCCCTAAAAGGTCATCTAATACTGCCTGACCCCAAATTGTAGAGGGGGAATTCTACCACCCTTTACAGTATCCCTCCCCGAATTGTCATGTTCAGTCTCTTTTCAAAAACCTGCAATGATGACACCCCATCATAGACCATTCCATAGACTTCTCTGATTGTTAAGAAATTCTTCTCTATATTGAATTAAATCTTCCTGAATCCTCCAGTGATTGATCTTAGTTATATCCCTTGGAATCCAGAAGAATGAATCTAATCATTTTTGCACATGAAATTCTTTCAAATATATGAAATAGCATACCTTCCCTAAGTCTACGTTTCTGTTAAGTTAGATAATCCCATTTCCTTCAGCTGATCCTTGTATTTCATAGCTTCAAATTCCTTCGTTATCATAGCCACCCTTCTCTGAATCAATCCCACCTTTTTAAAATAATTCATTCCAAAATGATCATCAAAATTGAATGCAATACTCAATATGTGGTGTGACCAGGGAAAAGTACAGTGGGACCATCACTTCTCTTGCTATTGAAATTAGACTTTTATTGCTAATATAAACTACAATCACATTAGCTTTATGGCTGCCACACAGATAAACAACTCTTATAGGACTTGCAAACCACTATAATCTCCAGGTCAATTTCACTTGAACTCTTGCCTAGCTGCATCAACCCCAAACTGGTTACTAGTGAAATTGAGTTCTTGAGCCATGTAGTGGAATTTATATGCTCATCTATAGATAAGCAAATGCCTGAATGTAGAGAATTTTTTTTTATGAACACTTAAAGTCAGTTGAAATATTAGTACTCTCTAAATGAGAGCTATGTGGGAGATACATAGCAGTTTGCCCAAGATTCATGGTAAGGAAAATAAATAAAATAATTATCTGTGCTTTCTGATACTTCTAAGATTCAAGAACTTTTCTTGATTAATCTGAAAGACCTAAAAAGGCAGAGCAAATTCCTATTTATTAAAAATAATGGCTCACAGTTGTATTGGACCTAAATGGTGCCAAGAAGTTTTTTTTTCCCCAAACCTGGGCAGTATTGATATGTACTGGGTCAGTAGACCTCCCTAACTACATATCTGAAGATTTCTGTAATCTTGATGTGGCCTCAGATTTGAGCATTAAACAAACTTCCTATATATGTAGTATAATAAGAATTAATTTAAACAGCTGATTTCAACAACCTCTTTTTACCATTCAAAACATATTTAGACATGTTTTTAGCTCTCAAACTTTATAATATGAAATGTCACCATCTCATCCTTGTGTCATTCACTCATGTCAGTGTTTGGGATTCATTACATAAAGTATCGTAGAGATGTTCCTAAAATTATACCTTTCTGCTATTTTCATCTATTGTCTCTTGTTCTAACTACTGGAACAAAGTAACACAAATATTATCCATCTTCTATGTAATATTCCCTCAAATACTAGAAGACAACCATTGTGTTACCTTCCTACCACTATCCATGCTCCCTGCCAATCTTCTCTCCTCCAAATTAAATATTCCTAGTTCATTTAGCTAATGCATAGTTTCAAGTCCCCTCACCATCTTCTTCACACTTTTCTGGATGTATTGCATTTTGTCAATGTACTCCCTAAAATGTGGCATCCAGAACTTAATGCAATGCTGCAAAAGTGGTCTCACCAAGGCCAAGCAGATGAAGATAGTTAGCCCCTCTCACTCTGGACACTATGTCTTTTTTATGTATCCTAGAATAGCATCAGATTTTTGGCTGCCACATTACACTATTGGCTTGTATTGAGTTTATAATCCACTAAAGCCCCAAAGTCTTATTATCCCACCTCTAGGTCCCCTATCCTGTACTCATGAAGTCTATTTTTCAAACCCATTAGGACTTTATATTTATCCCTATTAAATTTCATCTTATTATCTTCCACTCATCTATTGAGATCTTTGAGCATTCTGATTTTGTCATTCCTCACATTAGTTATCCTTCTCAGCTTCATGTCATCTACTAATTTGATAAACATGTCACTTCTACCTTTACCTAAGACAATGATTAAAGTATAGAATAGAGGAGGGCTAATAACGGAATTCTGCACTGCTCCTCTGGTGTCTTTCCTCTAAGCTGCCAACAAAATCATCTTTTTCATTCAATTAGTTTCAAATCTACCTAACAGTATTGTCATCCAGTCTATATCTACCCATCTTGTCCACAAGGAAACATGAGATTCTTAATCAGATGGCTTCCTGAAATCTATGTTTATATCATTCCTCTAATATGCTTTCTAATAACCCTGTCAGGAAAAGATAATGAGGTTATTTGGCTCAATGTGATGAACATTTCCCTTTAAAAAATGCTTCATAAGTCATCACTTCGAAAATATATTCTAGAACTATACCAGAAATCAAATCTTCCTAAATCAACCAACTGAAACTTGGAATAATACACCTTCTTCCCCTTTCAAGAATTGAAATATCTTCCCATTTCCAGTTCTGTGGCCCTTCTCTCACTTTCTACTGTTTTTCAAGTGAGGAAAGACATATTTAATACTAAAGAAGTTTAGATGGTACCTTATTTAATTATTCTCAAAAATCACATTACCCATCAACATGGTTGTTAATATGCTCCTAGAAATCTCCTTTAAATAAAATAATAGGAATGTAAGTGGGACTGAATCTGGGTCACAACTGGCAGAACTATAGAGTTATAGCTAAAGATTTTAAACTATGCTAACACTGGTTTTAAAGGGTTTTTTTTAGTTTCCTGATCATAATAGCATATTCTTATGTCCTAAAAATGTCACTTGCTGTGTATAGAGGAAGATAAAGGAGTATAGGAACAGGCATGATAAGTTCTGAGTTCTAATTCCAGTTCTATTACCTTCTAACAGAAATTGGAGCAAATTATTTTACTCACTATGCTTCAGATTCCTCCACTACAAAATTACTATACTTGCCCTACCTACCTAATGAGGCTGTTTTGAGTATTAGAGAACGTATATGAAAGGATTCTGAAAATTGTGAAGCACTATATAAATGAAAGATGTTTTTATTGTTATTTCTCTTTCTCTCCACTCCTTTCACCTTCTTTCTGCTCTTTTCCAAATCTCCTTTTCATTCTCCCTCCTTACCATCCCAGGGATGAAAAAGGAAACCTTCCTTGTGATGATCTCAGTAGGCACCTAGTGGGCAAGCCAGTGCATAAGGGATCCGAATCTCCAAATTCATTTCTTGACCAGGAATATCGGAAGCGATTTAATGTTGTTGAAGAAGATGCTGTTTTATATTGCTATGAATATGATAAAGGAAGATCAAGCAGTCAAGGAAGAAGAGAAAGCACTCCAACTTATGGTAATTTTTTTTTATTCTCTCTAAATTTTAGTAGGCATGGTCCAGCTGGCATTCATCTCAGACTCAATGAAAACATTGACTTTAGGTTTTTGGACAACTTTTGATGAGGTAGATGGTTTATCTGTACATATTTAATTGATCTGTTGTTGATTTTATTTTCTTTTGTCAGACATCATTTATTCTACCAAGTGAGAAAAACATGAGTTATAATTGAAATGATGAGCTTATTAATAGTTCCCAAAAGCACCTATTTTCCATTAGCAGAAATATGTGTAGTTAGACATATGTTGTTGAATCTAGGATTTTCTCAGCATCTTATATAGCATTTGATTGTGTCAGGAGGTCCAAAATTGGAGCAATTCAAGATTTCATCTATTTTGAATTCTTTTTTTAAGGAACCCATTAAATGTGCAAAGAGGAATGTAATTGTTCACACTTTTTGCTTTTTTTTGAAGAAATGTTATCAAAGAGCTTAAGATTTGCCTTTTATTCACTCATATGAGTATTGAGGGCCTACTATGTGCCTGATCTTAAACTAAATCGTAGACACATGTCTACTCTTTCATAACTGTTCCAAGATTAGCTAAAAATTATTGAAATTGAGGTGAATGTTTAGAGAAAATGTGTAATAATTAAATAAGAAATGAGTTGTCCAGTACTTAGAGAAATTCTCACTTTCTTGAGCATTCCTACTCTATGTCTCAAGGATGTTATGGTCCTTTTTTGAGATACTTGAGAAAAACCTAAAACTGGCATCATTCAAATAACACATAACACGTATGACTTTTTTTTTCTTAAAACAGAATGACATGTCACAAAAGATATTTAGAACTGCAAAAGGAAATAGAAGAACCTATTAAAGATATAGTAAATTCTTTGATTTTATACCCTTTTGGGGGCTGCTTAATGAGTAAGAAAACTAAGGAATCTTAGGGACAGCAAAGCTGTCCCTAAGAGATGGAAAGGAGCAATACTAATATTTTTTTTAACTTCTGAAGCCAATATAAAAGGAAACACATTGAAGTTTTTGTGGAATTTGCTAGAACATAGCTTTGTTTTAGTATTCCCAATTTCAAAATTATTTACTCAAAAAAGAGCTCAGCAGAAATGTTTGGGGGATCAAAATATAGTTTTGAGCCTGAGATTTTCTTGAAATCTTAGAGCAATGATAACATAATTCATGGATTTATTTTAAATGTGTTAGTAAAGAATTCTATCTACCTGTCAGGGATATGTCTTTTAGACCGTTTTCCCAAAAAGATGATTGTATCATGTTCTGTGATGCTGTGCTATGTCACTTTCTAAGAAGAGTCAGGATTTGACATGTACTCTTCAAAAAAACAAAACTTCACCTCCCTTGTACTGTTTTATTAAAGTTTATAAACCATCTCATATTGGCCATAAATTAAAAATACACAGTTTTAAAATGTACATTTTAGGCTACTAAAGTTTAAAGCTGCACCAAGACTTTTGGGACATCTCACAATTTTTTTTTTTCCAACTACAGATCCCAAAGTGAGCAATAGTTACATTTCCCCTCCTGCTCTGAGGAATTCCATCCTTATGGTTCTATATCTTTTTCTCCCTCCACCCACCCACAGACATACATCTTGACCCACCCAGTAAGATCGCCAGTAAGGGGAAGGATCACAAGGTTCAATCCTCCAGTAAGTCACCACACTGGGAGCAATAGTTATTGAACCTGTGTAAGGGAGAGATTCTCATGAGCCCATATCCTGACAATAAGTATAAGATTCCTTCGAGATGAAGGCATTGACATTTGCAATCTGACTGTTAGCATTTATCCTCTTTTCTCTTTGTGCCCCTAAAAATCTCTCCAGACCAGGGCTCTAGCCACACCGGAGGATGCCTAGACCTTCCATAAGAGCTACAGGCCTACTTGCGGTGAACATTATCTTCTTGGCTCTGGCTGACAGAAACCTTGGTTGCTGCTTTTTGCTGTCTTCAGCATAGACACAATCAGACACCAAGTTCCCCACTTGCCCTTAAGTTTTCCCAATTGTCCTAATCACAGTAACATTCTATACAGGGTGCCCCAAAGCTATTAAAGCTTAATAATGCACTAAGACTTTTGGGACTCCCTGTACTATGATTAGCTATGAACATTTAGCTATGCAATCATCCTTTATCTTCACTTTCTTATCCATCTTGAGCCTTTTCTCATTCAATTTGATTATACAACCATTGATTAAGTGAATGCTAAAATGGTATTGTTGTTTGTGGAATCAAAATTCAAAAAAGACAGATTGTATCCTAAAGGAGCTTGCATCCTAATGGGAGAGTGAGGAGGAGGGAAGACATATACACAAATGACTGTTAAAAAAAGAATGAAATAAATAGAAAGGAGAGGCCAAAATTCCTAAAGACTGAAGACAAATTTCATGAGGAAAAGATCACTATTTATAAGATGTTCAGGCCAACTTGAGTGTATATAATATTATAATTCTGCTGATTGTAACGATTTGGCCAGTAACATCAAAATCCTTTTGACTTTTCCCCTTTGCTCATTTGACCAGCTTGATGATTCCTGCATTTTCTCCATAATTCCCTTTCTCTCTCCATAGTATAATCTTGAATCACCTGGAATCAATGATTTACTCCTTCTTTACAATTTGCTAGGTTAATCTCATCCTCTCTCATCCATACTAATTGTTCTCAAAGCTATCCCTACTTGCCAGAGCTACTCTCTTGGCTGAGAAATTAATTTAGGTCATTCCAATGGAAAGTAGTTGTGCACACACCACCCTGTATCCAAGCATAGCTGGGGAACCTAAAATTATTTTTCACTAACCCCCACTTGGTCTTACACTCCTGCTAGACCTTACCCAGTCGACAGTGCCTTACCTTCAAAGCTGAGGGTAAGAGAAACCAAGCTGGTCTTAACATCTTTATCACGATGCATTTAAAAGACATAAAGTACATACAGAGTCCTCAAAAATCTTGATCCTATATACGATGTTGTCTAAAGAGATGGAACTGGGTTTAACTTCAAGCAAGTGCAAAGTCAAGAGGCAAACAGCATGATTCACAAAAAAATTCTACCCAAATTATAACAGCAAATCCTTCTGTCTCATAATATATCTCAGAATCACAGTATATCTCAGAATCAAATATATACAGCAAATAGCTGCATGTCTAAATAAACTGATTGGTAGATATTATCTTTATTAATATCAATATTTTCCCATAAGGTCTTTCTTGTGCTAATTTTGATTCATATTATCATTGTGCACTGAGGCTGCTAGGTTGCACAGTAGATAGAGTACTAGGCCTGCCTGGGGTCAGGAAGATTCATCTTCCTAAATTCAAATCTGGTCTTAGACAGTTCTAGCTGTGTGACACTGGGCAAGCCACTTAACTCCGTTTCCTCATCTGTAAAATGAGCTGGAGAAGGAAATGGTAAATTGCTCCAGTATCTTTGCCAAGAAAACCCCAAACAGAGCCATGAAGAGTCGAACAAGACTGAAAAACAACAAACAACAAATCTTTGTTCTTTATATTGAATTTTGAAATTTTTTCCTATGTATTTCTATTCCTAAAAGGAAACATGGGGAAAGAGCTAGAAAGTCAGCTTCCCAAAGCAGGAAAACCTGGGTTCAAGTTTTATTTTTAACATACATTGACCATTCGATCACAGGCAAGTTACTTAACTCCTTACTGCCCTGGCCAACTCCAATAATACTGTAAGTTGCAGAGTAATGCCAGTCTCCATTGGTAGAGATAGTTTCTTTTACCACTGAAATCACAGATCTAGTTCAAAGGGTCCTTCTCTTTATAGTCTCATCAAATATAAGTAATATATTCTTAAAGTTGTTAGACTGCTGCAACATTATGCTGAGTAACTTTTATGGCAGTTAGATGGCATTGTCGATAGAGACCTGGGACTAGAATAGAGAAGGCTTGTGTTCTAGTCCAGCTTCAGATACTAATTAGCTGTGCAACCCTAGTCAAGTCACTTAATCCCTAAATTTCCTCAACTATAAAATGGGAGTGATTAATAACAGCATATACCTCCCAGGGTTTTTGCAAGGATCAAATGAGATAATATATGTAAATCATTTAGAATAATGCCTGAAACATAATGATCAATTAATAATTGCTTATATTTGGAAGAGGGAAATCCATTTATACCTGAGAGCAGCACAGTGTGAGGGACAAGGTGAAACTCTGATGGGATCTTGAAATCTTAGTTAATGATTTAACTAGAAATAGTATTAAGTGATAGTTAAGATGTCACCCCTTCATTTTAGAGCACTTAAAACATCAGGTGGGCCCCATCAAGTAGGTGACGATGACAGAAAAATCTGGTGTACATATAAGTCATGACAAGAAAAGTGCTAAAGAGGACTGCCAAAACTTAATTGTAAGAAAGGCTCCAAAGTGAGGCTTAACTTAATTGTTAACTGTTTTACCCACTTGATTCAGCCAATGATTCAAAATGAAGTCTATCCCTGCTTCCCCTTTACTCTGCTATTCACAACCAGTCTTTCATGAGATATGATAAATTGAAGAGGCAGTACAATACAGTGACTTAAAATCGGATTTTCAATCTTACTTGATTTCAAATCTTACTTGAACTCAATAAGTGTCACTTACTACCCATGAGACCTTTGGCAAGTCACTTAGCCTCTCAGGGTCTCAATTTTCACTTCTATAAAAAATATTGGACTTGTATTCATCAAACAGGGGATTTGATGGCTTCTAAGGCCCCTTCCAGGACTAAATCCATGATCCTATGAATATTCTCTGAGCACAATCATGCCATTTTTTAATCCTTTTCCTGCAGCTTACTCTGCCCCAGCTCTACTTTAGGTAGAACCTCCAGGCTAAAGTCAGACAAACCTAAAGTTTTATAAGAGAAAGAGGGAGTATGACAGATTCCCTAGGATTCAAGCCTCTTTTCATACCTGTGTTATATATCTTAGATGCCATCAGAGGCCATCCAGATTCTCAGTGAAAAGTATGAGAGAATTTGTTTT